CAATTGTTTTGATTAAATTTTGATCATGATGCGAAAGACATTTAAGAGAATGGTGCAGGTCTCATATTCAGGGACATACCCAATATTTCTAAAATTGGGAAGAAAATTAAAACCTACCTTTTAAAGGTAGAGATTTTTGGATCAAAGACTGTGGCAAAAACTTAGTTCTTTAAAAAAGGTCATGTACAATTTTTTGTACAAGTAAAATCAAAAAAGCAAAGTAAAAAAGTCCCAACTGTTGTACAAAATTACCCCTTTAGAAAAAATCATACTTTTTTTTTTCTTGAAGGAAAAAGAAAGGTAGTATTTACTTAATTTGCGCCTGAAATTTACAACAACAAAAAAATAAAAAGTGACTTCTTTAAGTTTTGAATGTAGAAGAATCAAACATGTTCTTGTTCTTTATTCATTTGCTACGTTTTCAAAGGTCAGATCAAACAATTAAATGCTGGTAGCTGTGAAGATTGCATATAGATATTCAATGCCTAAGTGTATAGTTCTCAACAATAATGGTGGTGAAAAAGTGCCTTTATTCTGGGAATCAGTTAATTAAAACAAAAATATTTTATTTTTCAAAGAAGTTCCACTCTATTGTATATACAGTGAAAACTGTCCTAAGCAGTCACCACATGTTCCAGGAAAAATTGGCCATTGGTCAGTCGAGGTTATGAGGTTACCACTGGAAGCATAAATCAATGTTAATCACGTTAATGAAGTATGTTCTCTAACATCTTTACTTACCATAAAAGAGAAAATACAATTTAAATAAAGTATTACGATCTCTTGGTTCATATCAAAACACACTTTGGATTGTCACTCATTCTCTTAGTCATTAAACTCACTTTCCAACCTTGCCAACTCCAAGAAATAAACTAGACTTCAACTTGCATTTCAGTCATAGAAAGTTAAGAGCAAGGCTGTCTGACCCAGTAATAAATGAATGACCTTTAGATCGATTCACATTCATAGTGTGCTCTTGAGTCGTTAAACCACAGAAGGGAAAGAGGAATTAGCAAACCATAGGAGTGCTGTGGGATGGGCAAAGAGAATGTGTTGTTTCATGGTGATATTTATTTACTAAATAACGGTAGTAGCAAAAGAAACTGAAAAACCATACAATTATGTTTCATCAGTTACCAGTCATCAAGCTATCCAAATTACAGCTGTCACAACTATGTCACATTACAGCTAAAAACATCACCCACTCATTTATTCAAGCAAAAATACAAACTATTTTTGATGAATTTCAGATTTTGTTATTACAGCTTGCAGGGAGAGCATTCCACTCATTTACTGCTTGGTATACAATAAAATGTGATTGACTCTTTCTAGCCACTTCCTTTCCCAGCTTCATGTCCTCGTAAGTCTCTGATCTGGAGCCCTTGAGGATAATATGAAGTTAAGGTACATTGTAGCTCCCATGCAGGCCTCCACCATATATCCCCTTTTCCTCCTATGCTCTAAGGTCAAAAGAGGTCCCATAACACCTTTCTTCATAAGACAATATTCTCTTGGGATTTTTGTGAGTGTGTTATTGATAGTGGGGGGACCATATCACATTTTTACATTCCAGCGCAGGCCTCCCAAGATGTGGAATTTGCAGTTGTTAGAGTTCAGAGGAAGTAGCCATGTTTCAGACTATGCTCTTTGAAAGTAATCAAATTCAAGGAAGATGGGTGCCTATAATTAAATTTTCGATTTATATTCTTTATGCTTGTTACCTTTGTACCCTTTCCCTTGCCTACTATGATTTGAAGAGATCCTTCTTATATATACAAAGTTACGTTACCTTACCTAATCTTACGATTAGAGCCTGTCTTTTGTCTGTTCTAAGATTTTCAATTCTTGCCTTAGCATAGGGATAAGATCCTTGTTAAAGCTAATACTCTGTCATTTTTTGCCATTCAACAAAATATTCTGAGCTCTGATAGCCTCAGACATAACTACTTTGATGATTTGTGACCCACATCCACCACCAATATCACTGCAACTTCAGAGAGGAGTCCCCAACCAACATAGTTTTCACAGTTCTCAGATCATGTTAGGATCAGTCCTCATCACCTTCACAATTTACCTCCTGTACATCATAAATAACATCTCTCTAACATGAGACAGAAATTAATCCTTCTGTGGATAAGCCTCTGGATATCACTGAAGAAATTCAACGTATCCTGTTGCAAGATATTAAATCAATAGCTATCTTCATCAGTTTTCTGCCTTCTTCAACTGTTCGAAAATTGCTTGAAGTGATTACTTAACAGTGGTGTCCAGAAGAGATTTAAGGTATTTCTGTTTCAGAGAGAGATGAAATCTGTTTATGCATGTAGGGTGCAAACATGTTTGAAATATGGAATAATCCACTACATTATAACTCTTGTTTTATCTGCCACTTAATAAAGATCATTCTATTAAACAAGTGTGACAGGTGGCCACCGAAAAAGAAAATGACATACTTATAGAAATCTACCGACATGAAAAATCAATCAATTACAGATAAGATACATTAAAATTTTACCTCTGATTTTACTTCCATTTCACTTTTAATTAACTACTGTAGATTTCAACTTTAATGGACAATAAAGGTTTTGCATTTTTAAGAATGTTTAAGGTATTTATTTTGTTTTGGGGTTCCATGACAATAACAGCTACTATGAAAAGGTATGCATCAATAATAGGAAGCAAGAAATAAATATGTAACACAAATTCATTATTTTAATATCCTTTTGAAATATTTACATCTAATCTATTTATATACATTACTTTGTTTGCTTCCTGAAGCTACTAAATGGAAATTGCAATTATAGTTCTAGTTAACACAACTGTATTTGCACTTCGTTTTTGTTTCGTCATTATTCCAATGATACTTGGAGTCTTTGAAGTATTACTTTTTCTTTACAGTCATTGATTCCAATTCGCTTTTTAATGTTAAGAGCTCATGATCTGGAACATATCTTGTTTCCTCATGTTCAGGTTGATGTTCATGGATCTTTAATTTTACTCCTTCAGGCAAACTACCTGCCACACATTGCAAAAGCAAAGGCAATGCTGTACTTTCCAAATCAGTCACCTAAACAGAACGTGTTGATGATTAAAGAATAAAATTACATATGAGAAATAATAAGATGATATGTTTTCATATACTGGTACCTGAATATTTCTTTCATATATTGTCAAATGGTATTCTGAATCCACAACAGTACTTTGAGGCTTGAATCTTTGAACTTTCAATTTTTGTCCTGGAGTTGCCCAACTATAAAATATGTAGAAATTTACATTGAATATTTATCAAAGATTTTAAGATTTTCAAAGAGCATGTTTTTTAGATAAAAAATTATATTCAGTAATAATTTGGAAAGAATAACCTAAGACTTCTCCAAAGAAAAGCAAGATCGGCATTTATGTTTAGATGACTTCAGAAAAAAACATACTTTTAATAAAGAACGTTTCATGTTATGCATTCTCCATGCATGTTTTCTAGAGTCCTCTTTTTACTTTCTCGTGTACATACATATAAAAGTGGTATAGAGAAAGTTATGTAATGTTGTGCCAAACAATTGTGATATTTTGACAAAAAAACTGAGGCCCTGATACAAAAAAGTAGATATAAAACCTCTTCTAATATGTAGTAAATTACTTCCTCTAACATGTTATGTAGTCAGATTTCAGAAATTGTCAGACCTTGATATAAAAGGTTGTTGTTTTTTTTTAATGTTTTTTTTAATGTCTTTTTTTTCCTTTTCAAAACCACCCATCCTCTGAACACCACTACCACCTAAACCATATGTAGCATTTCTTTCAAAATGGATATTCCCCTGTCAATTTGACTTGCGGCATTTGGTTTATGAAAAACATTAATTAATTTTGGGGGGTACTTTACATGAAACCCCTGGGACATTTTCCCAAAAAATGGCTCCAGATTTTTTCTTTAAATTTCTTGTAAGAATAGAGTAAAATGCAGTTATAAGAGGTGGCATAGATCCAATTTTCACTATTCTGAATTTTCAAAAATTGCAAAAGTTTCAATTTGTTTTCTTTTTGGTGTCTTCCTACAATTACAAAATTGAAGATAAGAGATTTTTCTGTCAAATGAAATTTGTCCATAATTAGTTCTTTCAGTAAGGTCATGTATATGTTTTTGAAACTTCCGGTAGTTTGTCATGCACAATGAGCAATTATAACAAAAACAAGATTTTCTCAAAAGCGGCACACTTTTTTTCTTTAAATTTTTGGTACAATTAGTCCTCAATGTACTCTAAGATAATGTTATCATAATTTTGCTCTATTCTTCGCTTTGTTTTTCCCCCCATAAAAATAACTTTTTGACTTGTTTCTCACTTTGCCAATATCTACATTAGTGATGATTTGTTCACATTATTTCATTTCTCAGTACTTTAAATGATTTTTTATAAAGTTTCTCAAAAGCTCAAGTATTCCGTGAATTAGCTCAAAATTCCGCATTTTCAAAAACAGCTCCAAATTTTTCATACAGACCTGCCCTGTTAAAAATGACATAAAATTAATTTTGCTATGATCTTTTTTTTGAAAAATTACACATTACTTTTTTTTAATATCTCACTCTTTTAATATGCTAATTTCCAGCAATTTGTATATATTATTGCATTTGTGACCAAATGCTTCAAGTGACTTTCAAAATGGTTTGAAAATAAGTTTTTTGTGAAAGAGCTTCAAATTTCACATTTACAGTAACACTTTAAAATGCTATTTTCAAGTACTTCAAATTTTTCATCGGAAATTTCCATACATGATGAGATTTTACTCTTCTATAATATTCTTGAAGTATTTCATTAGTTCTACCATTCGAGAACAGAAAAATTGAGCAAATGTGAAAAAATGATGTTGGGACAGCGAGATGGCAGCTGGCAATAGCATGGGACATGATCAAAAAGCTATCATCGCCCAAAGAAATTCAGCAACCAACTTAGTTTGTGCCATTCTGTACCACCACTAGCTTCTAGATGTCAGAGGAGTGGGATGGTTTTATTTCGATGACAGAATTATATATCAAACCTGTAACTCAGATGCAACTCTGTTTTTATTACATGGGGGCAAACATTTCTGGATATCAGATTTTATCAACATTCGTGCAATAATTTATGCTGAAATCACTCAATGTTAGCAAAGGAATGGAGGTAGGTATTCCGGGGCTCAAAAAAACATGTGTGTATAACATGCTACACTGAATAAAATCTCAATATCAATTGATAGGCATGCAAAACATTTCAGTAAGGTTTACCAAGGAAATCTTATAACTCTCAGATCAAATTTGAATGCAATTCTTTTGTGGCTAGTTGTCAATTTTTTAACAATCAATGTAAATTAAAATATATTAAAACACAGAAATTACCCATCTTCCACATCTATATCCAAGCAATTGGCAATTTTATGAATGAACCTCTGATAATTTTCCAAAACAGGGAAGTCATAACCTCTCATCTGGATATTAAGAGTATTATACAATGGTATTTTAGATTTCATAGCCTGAAACAAAAGTATCAATGAGTTTTATTATCAGTAAAGAATGCAGCAGTTTGTAAACAATTTTGAGGAATGGACATTCAAAACAAAACACAACGAAAGTATTTCTCTGGTAAATAAAAATTCACTAAAATTATTCTGTAAACCTAAAAAAATACAAATGTGCAAGTTATGAAAACTAAATATTGTAATTACAAATTCTTAGAACGTGCACAATGTGAAATTCTTAATCACAATTGTAAAAGTACATTTGAGTAATTATTACTGTACAATTCTTTGCATATTTTGTACAATTTTTTCCTCGCAGGTCACAAACTCAACATCTAGCATGACATTTTCTAGCACTATTTGTAATGTAAACAGCACAGTGACGTGGATCACGTATTTCAATTTGTATGCTGATTAGATCCAATCGAACTGTTAACGCATCCATACTACTAGTTTTTATCCATCATTTCCTATTTCTGAAGACTTTGTTGAACTAGATTTTAAACAAAAAAGGATAACTGAAAACTTGTAATTGTACTTCATTAATAATCATACAATTGTAATACTTCATGAATCACTGACAGTTGTTACATTCAAGGAGTTCGGGAGTCAATAGGTATATAATTTGAAACCTGAATCATCTTCATGATCATATTTTTTATCACAGACTCATTTATAAATTTACACTGAGGTAATTTCCATATTTTTTTTTCTTTAACATCAAGGTATGTCTTAAAGTTACATTTATCACAGTTCTCATTAGCAGGATCTGAAGCAACCTAATTCTTTCAATACAATTCTCTCTCTCTCTCCAAAGAGACTTATTGGCAACACATTCTAGACTTAGGATGACACAGATTAAAAATAAAAAGCCTTTCACTCTTAAATTTTCAATTTTTTCCCAATCAAGAGATCATTGCTTTGACATATATTGATGAATGAGATTTTAAAAAATCCACATAGGGTATCTGCTGGCAAATATGAAAGGTCGCTTAGAGAAGTTGATCAACATTTCTTTGATGCAAATTTAATTCCTTCTCTTCGTCAAGAAATGCAAAATGAGGAGATAGCTTAAGCTGCTTGTTATGTCTAAACAAAATTTAGTTCAAGGGATCAAAATAATACAAGAGTCACTTGTGTTGTACTCTATTATTTTCTATTGCTAATTTTATTATTATTTCTTTTGTATTCATGCCAAATTTCGTATGAGGTAATATTTACTATTTTAACATGCGATACAGGGCTTTTTGTGGATTATGCAACAAATTATTGCTGATGTTATGTTATGGTTTTTTAATCATAAAAAAATCTCATCAATAAAATCAGACTGCCAGAGCGAAAACAAAACTTTGATTATTATTTAGGATGCCCACACATACTTTACAAACAAAAATATATGTTTTTACATTTAAGAAATTATGATCGAAACTACTTGAACTATCCCATTTTTGAAATTGTTATATTTTCTTACAACCTGTAAATTTCATTAACAGGCCGGTCACGACCGGTGCATAACTCTCACCTCCAAGTAATCCGGCTCATAAATTCCATACCTACGATACGAGTTTATACATAGTGACCATTTCTTGCACTCAGTATACGTTCGTGCTGCCCACTTAGCTCTCTGAAATGAAAATGAAATATGTGGGCACTTGTGACATTGCTGCTGAATACAAATAGGACAAGTAAATAAAAGTTTGATGGAAAAACTGACGGAATGGTTCATACCCCGAACATTGTTATAGCACTCTCCTCTATTACATAAATCTTTTGAATCCCAACTCAACTGCTTTTAATAACCAATAACCAAATAACATCAGCTACGATCAACAGCCATGTCGAGCCATGTGTACAACATGCACACCAATGCACACTGTGCATTGCACAGCCATGCATGCTCCTTAACGTCGGAAGGACAGAGGGACACCGTTATCCAATCGAAAGCTTCAGTACAAAAAAATAGAAGACATGAAGCTTCCGATTGGATAATAAGTCATCTGTCAAAAGTCATTATACATAAATTGGACAACATTTATTGTTCAAAGAGTATACGGAATATGAGCGATATTTATGTTTTGGACAAATGATGCTCAATTGTTCAAAACAACAGAAACTTAAATGCTGCTTAAATGTTTGTGTACAATACGACAGGAAAATGAAACAGTGTACGAAAAGCAAGGAAATGGGACCCTGTCAGTGGTGTATGCTGCGTGTTGTGAATGCTTGAGCTGAATTGTTAACCATTAACGCTGCGCAAGTACGAACGAAGAACGTGCGATATGTTTTTGATATGTTCTACTGCTTGAATAGTTATGAATTCGTTTCTTTCTCTTTTGGAAGAAGAGGCTCCTGAGAAAAGGGTGTTTGAGTGGCTGTAAGTGCGTAAAATTAATTTTATGTTTAGAGGTTTGTTTAGCGTATTTTAAAAATTACATATTTCATTATTAACAGAAGTATATAATGTGACATAAATATACAGGAAGGAAAGATAAAGTACTTTCCCAATAACTACATATTTATATTAAAATTGAATACCGGAAGATTTATTTCTTTCCTATTGTAGAGTGATATATCTTGCTGCATTTGAAATATGATTGCTTGTAATTTCAGGAAGCATTGTAGTGCTGCCCCCAAAGATGTAGAGTATTCTAGGGAGGATTCTGGATGCCTTCAAAATGAAAGAAATGAGACTGAGTTGACTGCTAATTTTCGTCTGAGAAACAAAAGTTGTGTGTTAAAGTAAGTGTCAAGGTTTTGATGATTTAAATCATTGATGTAAGTTGTGATTAAATCGAAAGATTGGCTGTTCTCTACATGGGATGGTAGATTCTGTTCTTTATATGTCACTAGATTAGCCACCACAACAAATGTAAATATTCAGTTTGTTCTGTCAATCTTTGTGATCTAAATAGGTATTAGTATTCAGTGTTGCTTGTCATTCCAATGAACCAAAACACATCTTCTGCACTGCATGGATTAGGATTGAGCCTGTCTTCACAAGTTTTCCTTCCATTGTTTTTTATGGGTTTATCCACTTCTCTTTTTTCAAGCTGTTGGTGAAGTAAAGCTAATTTAGGTAGTCTTGTATTATCCAATGTATGTTTTATGTATTATTTTGCGTGTGTTGAAACCAGTCTCACATGTGGGGAAGGGGGTGTTCTTGATGATTTATTAGTTTTGATGACTCAAGCGTCTCTGAACTCGACACAACCTGCTGTCTTCACTGTATGCAAGTATATCAGCCCCTGCGATTGTGAAATATTGGTCGGAATTATTACTTGAATCTTGGTTAAGTAAATCAACTTGCTCCAAGAGTGTCATATCGAATGCATGCCTAAATCTGATTGAGAACATTTTAACAATAGGATACTTGACAACCATGTCCAAACCTGGACATAGAACAAACCCATACTTACGAGAAAGTCTTTCATCTATTAAAATTTTAGCACAGCATTACATAACATGTGATTAACACTTACAGAACCAGTAGTATGTGATGTGTAGTACACTGCAAGAGCGAAGCATTACCATGTCCACTAGTTATATTATAAGCTGTGTTACTAGACCTGAAAATTGATTCTCGTCACATATACAATAGTTTTGAATATTTTTTAAAGGCTGAAATACTGTCTTTTTAGTGTTCAACATTCCACAAATAGACAGAATGAGAGTTCTTCGTCAAGCCAAAATAATAATTCTACAGACAAACATCGAAAGTCATCAGAAAGTGATAGTGGCTGCCTTACATGTTCTACTTTGAGGTATTTTTCATTTTATATTTATGGAAATTATCATATTTGAAATATTCAGAAAACTTAACATTTTAAATTGCACATTAGAAAGTTAAAAATAAATTTATTAACATGGCTCTTTCAGATTGTACAGTCGTGAAGAATGTCAGCACATTATCACATATATTGTAGAAAACGATGCTTTTCCATTTCTAAAAGGAACATTGCTGTGGCAAAAAATGGAAAATGAGAAGGTATATGACTCTTTTTTGTTTTGTTTTGTTTTTTCTTACAAAACTGCCATATAATTTTGTTTTCTGTAATATATAGTTTGAATATTTTATGATGTATCTTAGGAAATAAAATGCTTTTTAAAATACTTGCAGTCTTCAAGGTTACCTTTACATCATAGTTTGAAATATCCAATGTGTCGATTTCAAAATGGCAAAAGCTCACTAATTTTATATTGCTCATAACTACTTTATTTTTAAAATCATTTTTCAAGGAAACAGAGCTAAGGAAAAACAAGAACTTACCAACCTGCTCGTGACAAGGCTTAAAAGTAGTTTTTCTCTAATCCTACACTTGAGTACTGTTTTGTAGAAATGTCTATTACTTCAAGTTTTATTTAGTATTTTCTCTTCAAATAATGAAAACTTATTGAAGTTGAACCTTAACATAATGTTTCTTTCAAATGTTTTCCTCCCTGTGTAATATGATTTTTTTTAGTTATATTGTGACTCAATTTAAATGATCTACCAGGCATGGCATGTTATTAGTAATTTTATCCTGATTTTTTTTATTTATTTATATTTTTTTTTTATTACTTGTTTTGCAGGTCTGTTACAGAAGTTGGCAGAGTATGAAGGAGCAGTTTATTAAAAAAATTTATCCTAATTTAGGGGAATATCCAGTAAAGCCTGATGATAGAAAGAAATTTATGGAATAGTAAGTAATCCTTCACATAAACAAATTTTGCTTAATTTTTTAATGTTTTCACTCGATTTCTAGCTCCAAAAAAAAATTAAGGCAAATAATAATTTAAAAAATTTGCTTTAGCAATTGGATTGAACCCTTTCAAAAGTGATATTGAAGTGTGAGATGAGTTATTAGAATTGGTTATTCAGTCATTTCCAGTGGCAGCTCGTTCTTAGGTTGCCTAATAATCAAAAAATATTTTTTTAAATGTTAGGAATATACATTTTTTTAAAATTTTAATGACATTAAATATTCCAGATGTTGCAGCAATATTGACATATATTGAATCATTTTGATCCAAAGACCGCCTACTCTGTCTGTTGCTGTCCCAGGCCTTGCATCTTGTTATACTCTTGACTCTATTACTACGTTTACTCTCCGGCTTGAAGTTACAGCTCTGTGTTTCAACAAAGGGCTCAATAGGCCCGTCAGATACACAACCAGATAGGGGGTAGGGGGTTGTCGCCCAGCAGTGTGGCAAACCAAGGGAAATACCAATTTTGGATAGAGCTGATCAAAATATATCCCTTTTAGTTGTTCCACAAGAGGGGAAAAGTGGTATACTCCATAGACACTGTAGAGCAAAATACCTGGGATCTTTACAATCAATGAAGATGCAGTATATCTGATATTTCGCGGTCAAATTGCCACTGCAATACGAGAACGTAACAAAAGAGTGACTATTAATAGAAAGCACAACAAGATTTTCGATTTGATGAAAGGGAATATTAGGTTTCTGAATTACCAACGGATGAGAAAACAGAAAAGAGGTCACTGAAATGTCTCCTATAATATGTATAAAATGTGATGAACCCCTTCATGTTTGTAATTGTAGTAGCTCATCATACAGTAGCATAAAACAAGTTTATAAGATTCTTATGTATATTTATTGCAGTTATTTGTGGTTGTAACCACAAAACTTTCCTTTTTTCATGTTTATTTGAAAATTATGAAGTCCCAAGAAGTTACATGTTGCAAGGCTTTACTTTCACAAAAAGTTCCCTGATGTCGTGGAAGGACGGTTGTTTTTGAAAATATTAACAACGGTACGAATTCAAAATTGTTTTTGTTTTCATCCTTATGACATTCTTAGAGAATACTAATGTCATATAACTCAAATTTCAAAAAAAATTAATTCCGGATTATGTGAAATAATTAATAGATTAATCCGGTGTTTAAGTGTATCTAAATACAATCGTACATTTTATATAAAAATATTAACAAAAAAATAATTGTCAAGAATGTTAAAGATAATATATTTCAGAGTTTAAAAAATTTCATGCTGAAATTGGGATCCAGTTGTTCTTGATACGACCCCACTTGTTCAGAGACATGCAGAATCAGCAACTGTGTGAAATGAAACTAATTTCTTCATGTTCTAGGCAATTAAATTGCACGGATGTACCTCTCAGTTCAGTAATAAAGTAAAATAATATTATAAAGAATAGGGTTATGCTTGCCCAATCCTATATTTTCACATGGACAACTTTACAAGCTTTCTCAAGAGTAAAAAGCTTTTGTAATATTTCTGTGACTATCAAGGAAAGGAAAAAGCAAACTGTCAAGGAAGATTGTATAATTATTTAACATGTTTTTAAAGAAGTGTTGTGAATTTTTCAAAGATCATCTATAATACTGAATAAACATTTATTCAAAATTTGTTTCAAACATTAATTTCATTATTCTTTGCGTTATTTTTAAAATATATAAGTACATTGGAAGTTACCTTTTTTTAAAATGTTTTAAACAAATAAACGTGTCTTGTTAACAACTTCCCCTCTTAATGTGGAAAAGGAAAGATAAGGAAAGAGGCTGGAATTTAACATTCGAGGGCTCTCGATTGGGTATGCTAGTATAATAAAAATGTAAATTCAGCCCAAATGCTAAACAATGTTCACTTAACTACACTCAAACAAAAGACAAAACTAATGTAGTTGCAGAATGGCACAGACTGTCCCATATTAGTTTTCTATTTCCTTTGGTTTTGGCCCTGCTGCCATCTATCGCTGCCCAAATTCGTTTGAGATTTTCTGAATTTTTAGGTTTCCCAATAATGGAACGAAAATATTATTTTATAAAGATTAAAGAACAGTAAAACCTCATCCTCAGTTGTAATTTTCTGTGAACAATTTGGAACTGTTTTATAAGGAAATGGTGCTAATGTAACTTCAAAATTTGAAGCACTTTTTCACAGACAAATTTTGAGGTGTTTAAGTACATCTGAAAAACTTACTTTGAAGTCATTTGAAGGACGTTGACACACAAATACAATAGTATTTACAAATTGCTGGAAATGTGCATATTAACAGCGTGAGATATCTTCAAAAAAATTACAAGTCTAACTTTTGAAAAACAAATAACCCGAAATGAACTGTACGTCATATTAAAGAGGGCAATTAGCACTATATATTCAAAAAGTTTGAAGAAAAGAATTGGAGCCATTTTGAGAAAATTTTGAAAATGTCCTAGAGGCTTCATGTAAAGAACCCCCCAAAACTAATGATTTTCATAATCGCAGACCTTTGACTCAGGCCAAATAGACAGGAGTTTCTTCAATTTGGAAAAAATCATACTCATTGTTTAGGCGCTAGTGATGTTCACATACACCGGGCTGATAAACGGACGTTTTGGAAAAAAAAGAGTATGTTATTTTGGGGTATTATTTCGCGCGCGAGGGCTGTCACCATGGAATATCTCACGGTATTTCGCATCTTTCTCGGTCGTGATGCATGATCGCGACCATGACGAGCAGTGTTGGAGATTCATGTCATTCATTCGATATGAAACCTGTACATATTTCATTAATTTCAACAAGAAATAACGCAAAACTTCTCATTTTTTCAAAATGTTGTTCATGATATTTTTAAAGAGCTAATTTTGTACAAGAGACTTTGAAGCAAAACTATATTCTATCTTCAATTTTGTAGTTTTGATTTCTTTTTTTGCAATTTTCGAAAAAAATGAACAATACCCGAAGATGAGACTAGTGCTACATTTCTTGTCGTTCCTAATAACATATGTGGAGATTAAAAAAATGGGGCGGATTTTAAGAATTTTTGTTGTTGTAAATTTCAATCTCAAGTTACGCAAAACCTACTCGTTCTTTTCCTTCAAAAAATTGTACATTGCCTTTTCTGAAGAACTAATTTTGTACAACAGACTTCGTTGGAGACAAATCTCTATTTCCAATTTTGAAGTTTTAAATTTACCTCCATTTTCGAAAAATCGTGTCAACGAAAATAAAATATCCACTTTTTTTGAAAACGTCAAGTGACTTCATGTCCGTCCCAAAATTAAAATTTCGTTTTCCAATACCAGGGCCCGCACATCAGCTACGATTGAGGAATATCAAATTTGGAAAAAAAAATCGACTGAACAGTTTGTGCGTTAGCGTTGGGCAGACAGACGACAAGTCTATCGATTTTTTGGTATCAAGGACCCACAAAACATGGATTCTGGCTACATCACGTGTTAGAGAATTTTTTATATTTAGTAACTGCATTTATACACATTTTCCTTACCACGACCTGGTAGTAAGAGTTTTTGTGTCGAAAATTTGCCGCTTTCCGGCTCACGATTACAATACTTTCTCTTCTTACGTTAGAAAGTGCGGGAAAGTAAAATTGTGTTAAGTGAGGAGAACGCATAACTGCAATGGAATATTATGAGCAAAACAAAAACTCAATATTTTACTTTCTTACGACGCTAGCACATAAACCGTTCAGCCGATTTTCTTCAAATTGACATTCCATAATCGTTCTCGCAGATGCCGCGGCCCCTGGATTTTGAAATAGATATTTTAATTTTGAAGAGTACTTTACATGAAACTCGTGGGACATTTTCAAAATTTAAAAAAAGATGGCTCCGTGTTTTTTTTATTAAATATTGTGGTTAAATAGTACAAAAGACGTTTAAGAGAATGGCACATCCTCAATTTGTCGAAAACTGAAAAAAAATTAAAACTTAAAAATTAGAGATAGAGATTTTTGTCCAAAATTAGCTCTTTAAGAAAGATAATGTAGTTTTTTTGAAAAGGAGAGTAGTTTTTGTGGAATTTACAAAAACAATTTCTCAAATACCGCTCAAAATGTTTAATTTTTCTCCGCATACGTAATAAAGAACTGTAAGTAAGATGGCGCTAGTCTAATTTTTGGGTATTGCTAGTTTTTTCGAAAATTGTTTGAAACATTTAAAAACTACAAAATTGAAAATATAAATTTTTGCCTCTGTCAAAGTCTGTTGTACAACATGCTCTTTCAAAAGATCAGGTACAATTTTTTGAAAAAACTAGTAATTTGTGCATAATTTCTGCTTAAAATGAATGAAAATACAGGTTTCACACCAACTATCGGCCACAAAAAAATTAAATGAATGATATGAAAAATATTGAATTGAATTTTACATATAATTTCCTATTAAAAATGCCAATTTGAATACTATTTTTCCTTTCTCGCTATTTTCCTTTTTACTCAATGTATATTTTCAATGTATTGATGTATTTCTTTTTAAGCAATCCACAAAGCTTGATAGAAATTTCGCAACAATGCAGCATCGATATTTGAGAAGCACTTGAGTAGCATTTGTTTTGTTTATATCATCTTATCTCTCTCCCGAGAAACAGTGGACGCTCTCTTTGTTGAAAAGCAATTGTGTTCATGTCTGAAGTGTGGATATTAGAAGTCGGCGGTGAAATGAAATGCTATCTGAACTGTTCTTACGATGAAAGGCAACTCACAAATGAGCGTCCATCTTTTTCGTAATTATTTTGATGTCAGTTGCATATATTCTAATTTCTGGATTGATATTATTAGCCAAGCAAATGCGCATAGTTTTGACAACGCTGCACTGTTACCAGTGTGTTGGTCGCTTCTTGATGGAAATGGACGTTTTGAAATAATGGCTGATGCGTTTGGTAGTAGTGCAAAAAATGCAACTTCTTTTTCTTTTAAATTGTCCTCCTTCTCTTCTTCCTTTTCTATAGCTTATGAATATTTTTTTCAGTATGAAACCATCTCCTCCACAAAAAATCATTCATATGGAGCCTGGACAAAGAGGATGGAGAAAGTAAGTATCATCAATTTATCAGAATTTTGTAAAAAAGAAAAATATTAATTATGTTCTGGTTTTAAATGAAATATTGTTTATATGATTATATTATATAATTTTATTCTGTTTCAGAAATGGAAGATATTACACGATTGAAGAAGACTTAATTATTTTAAAATATATTTTTCATAGACGTAGGCACCTACAAGTACACGGGAATTCTTTATGGCAAACAATGGAAGACAGACAAATTCTCCCTGGTAAGAATATGTGAATTATTTTGTTTATTTCATTAAATTTTTATTTTTACCTAAAGAGCGAAACATTTGAATACTTTCATACTGATTAACTGTAAAATTAATTTCTTCTTTTAATTTTTTTATAAAATTATAATTTTAGTTTGTTTTTTTTTTGATATTTCTTAATTTATTCATATGTATTTTTTAATTATGTTAATCAATGAGAGTTTGGTTATTCAGAGTACAAGGATGCAAATAATGCACTGTTTGGCAAGACTGCAGAGTAGAGGAAAGTGGCAGCTGTTGGTGAAGGATGCGGTCATGGTGGGAGTTGTATAGTTGTAGGTCAAAGGTTGAGAATGAAGCACTTTTTTTAATCACAACCGTTTCTTATAGACGAAGTGTAACAGTACCATGTTATGCCATGAATTCATTCAAAAACTAAACAACACTTAATTTAACACCAAACCCAACCGCAATTGCTTGAGGCTGAGCTATTAATTTCCATGTCAAAGCATGTGAGGGTCACTCATTGCCAATGTAACTGAAAAGTTACATGAATAGTGTTTGGAGCTGTTAACGTCTACAGCACAGACATGACACCACTGTACTTATTTTCGAATTTAAACCAGTGGTGCCACAATAGAATAAGCTTTCTTGGGATATTTGTAAGGTGTACACTTTGTTGTATGTTGGCCAGTTTAAAAACAACATTTAAGGATCAAATTTTTTTTACCTTCTTTTTGAGGCCTTTTATCTCCTATTGGATTTATTTTCATAATTTCCCTGAAAGTAATAATTTTATTGTAATTAAATAATATTTATTGAGCATCACCTTTTTACACAGTTAACATATAATAATAAAAATAATTGACAGAGGCAATGGATTTGCTTGTACGTAGGAACTGAGTACAAAAAGGAGAAAGAGAGACACACACTATAAAAGAACAAATTAGAAAGAAAATCTATTTAATGTGAAACAAAGTATTAGTAATATTAGTAGATGGTAATATTATAATTATATAATGTTACCTTTCTTCTCTCTTTGGTCATTCTAGAAATTGCTAAATCAGAAAAACTATTTTTTTCATAAGGATACAATCTATTCTCTATTCAACAGTACCCATTTTGACAATGTTTTCTTTAATGCAATTTTGTTACTTAAAACTGAGAGACCAATTGCCTATTTATTAAAAAATTTTTAGAATTAAATGTAACAATTTTATTTAAATGTTCTATCAATAGTAATAATTTAATTTCGTGCATAATAGTAATACAACTCCAACTTGCCTTCTTATGAATGTCAGGGTTGTTTCTAATTTTGCAGAGTAGGTATATCCAAAAACGTAATAGTTTATCATCATCATACCTTCAATAATGTCTTTACAAAATAAAAGGTTTTGTTTCAGGATTACAGTTATTTACTTTGGACTTGAACTTTAGTTCATTGTCTTAATTTGTTTGGTCCATTCTTATATTTAGACAGTCAATTGCAATCTGCAGCACATATCCATCAATAGGTAGAGATTATTTTGGAGCCAAATTTCACATTTCATGAAAATAATATGAAATAATGAAAATAATATTAAATAAATAATACTAATTCATATTTATCAGACTTCACCTTCACAAATCCAATATGCCTGAATTGCTTCAGCTTCTTTCGATGTTAACCGCCAACCGCTCAACGAAACTGCTGGGATGAGAACAGGAAGAGAAGGATAACATTCATAAGTTTCACAAGCTTTCATATCAGGATGTTATGATGTTCCTTTGGTTTTGAACAAGTTTTAGAAATGTCTACTACTACTTTAAGACATAACATGACTACAAGAGCATCGGAATACGAATGAAACCCGTCACCCTTAATCTCGCCTGCAACGGACCGAAAGGGTTTGGAAATTCCTAAGGCGCTCCGGAATACAAAAGGATTTTTAGGAAAGTAATAGTTCAGGAAAAATAATCAGGATATTTTGAACGCTAGTGAGGGCCAGTTTCGCCAACAGCCGAGTAAAGTTGAGAGTAGTTACCCGAGAGTAACCATTTACTCTAAGATAGTAACTCTCGAGTAGAATATGAACGTTTCACTATGCTTCTAGAGGGTTATTTTACTCTAGATTACATACTTTCCGTTTTACTCCGCAAATCATCTGAGGACACAATAATAGAGAGCGATTTAAGAGACTGTGCGCGAGAATGACGCTGGGAATCAATGCGGACCAACGCGAACCTTTAATTCTTTATATTCTATCATTCATTTCAGTTTCGGAGTCCTTGCCGTTATAATCTGGTGTGGTGTTATGGTGGTTTGAGTTAGCATAGTTTGTTTCCTAGTTCCTGTATCTTTATTTCTTAATAAATATTCATTCTTCTTCTCTGGAGACGAGATACTATTTTGTTATCAATGCAGAAAAATCAAATTTGCTGTTCGTTTACCGATGGCGGTGCAAATGAATTTTACCTAGGGATCGAAAATGTTTAGTTTTTCAAATGCTGCTGATCTCGTGTTTTTCTAAATTTTAGTATTATTTGTTGTTTTATTTTTTACACTTATATTCATCTTTCAACTATTTGTAGTTAAAATGTTGGAAAAGGATTCTGGAACTCAAGAAAACGTGCGCAAATGATCTCCCCCATACGTCACATACAGTTTTTACTGAATAAATAAATGACTATTTCTTAGCACTTGTAGTCCCTGTAGTTATTATTTTTCCTTTTGTTGTATTCGGAACGTACTACCTTTATTTCGTATCCACATGAGAGAAAAATAACTTTAGAAGTTATCTACAGTTTACAATGTATCTGATGAAGTTACACAGCTGATTTGGTCAAACATAACCTCACGATAAAATCTCGATCGTCAGAATTAAAACCAATCCATTCTTTCTCGCACCCTTTGTCTTCGCACTAGTGGATAATATTCCGAATCATTGCTGGAATCGTCTTCAAATACTATCATTCGTAATCGTCGAGCCGTAACAACACTTCGGAGGTACATGGCGTCGAAAACTGAATTTACTCCGTACTTTACCCGACGGATTTTCGCAGTGTAAAGTAACTCTCGAATTTACTCTCGTGTAAGCGGTTTACACTCGAGTAAAGTGTTGGTGAAACGCTCCAAGAAGTTACTCTCGAGTAAACATGATTTACTCCAGAGTAAACTCTTGCTCTTTGTTTGGTGAAACCGACCCTAACAAAACTAAAGCAATTGTGGAATATCGTAAAAAATACGACCACATCATCTCGGTACTTACAAGGGAAGTAACAGATCATTCATGTCGAAACACCGCTCGAAATTTTTATGACACGCAATGCACTATCAAAATCCCATATCCAAAATATTTGATGCCAGTTTCCTCTGCAATACCTCCAAATAAATCTTTAAAAAAACACTTATAATAACTAGGAAAAGGATCCGTCCCTTTAGACAGGCCTTATCGCGTCTACCGGTCCGTTTGGGCAGCCCTTATTGCGGGCGAGCTGACGCGAGGGACCCGAAGGTCACGGGTGAGTCGGCCGCCTCAGTCAGCGGCCATGCAATAAAAAGGGCTGTGTAGTTTCGCACCCAGTTCATCTTTCCATACTACTGAAGAAAGTACCTCCGCAATGGCCACAGAGCAAGTAAATCCATTAACATAGTCGAGTTCGTCGTGAGTTACTTTCGTGACAAAGGTTTATCTTGGACGGGAAGTGTAAATGAAAAAGAATGAGAAATGGGTGCAACATGGAATTGATCGAAAATAATAGCACAGGGGTCGAGCGTTATGAGGAATTAAACCTCGATCTATGTGAAGGAAGTGTTTGTGAATCAAGTGATAGTGGCAGTGATACAGACTGCAATAAGCATACTTCTACCACGGGTGATGATATGGCCAAGTGTTTACGATGTGTGCCTTTTATATTTCAGGATTATAGAACAAAAATATTAATCATTGAAAATCACTGTATTGTTTCCCCATGAAGATCTATACACTTTTGCATGCGTTTGAACCAATTGTCGAAGTACTTTTGCCACTCAGATTGAGGTATCTCCAAAACATGCATTCTGAATGCAGCAACCGCTTCTTCAAGTGTCGAAAAACGTTGGCAAAACAATCGTTGGTGTAGCACTCAGAATTGATGCTTCTGGCTTTCTAGTGGCGGTTTGCAAACGCTCCAGTTTTTTCGAAAAACAGGCGACCATCTGTTTGGAAGTGCTTCGTGCGCGAACAACTTTTGTTGGATTTTGCTCAATCTTGAAACATCATCAGTCGACGCCGGTATGACTTCGGGCTCATAACGCGTAAATCCAGACTTCATCACCTGTCACGATGTCATAGACGCTGTTTCGAAGCACCGCGATCGTATTTTTTTGAGGATTTCTTTCGACCAATCGACACGAGCCTTTTTTTTTTGATCGATACAAATTGTGGGGATCCAACGCAAAAATTTTGTTTTGACAGTCAAAATGTTTCAATCATATTTGAAGTATGCTGGTCCCACTTGATGCTAAGGTTTCTCATCTCACGGTAGGCCAATGATCTTGCAGTTCAGTTAACGCCACAGCATCAATGGTTTTTGGAACTACTGATGTTTGGACGACCCTTCACGAAATTCCGTCTTAGAGAATACGACCAACGATTGAATTCACCATAACTCATCGGTAAACCTAGTCCTTGATGGAAACTTCATCGCCAAAAATAATTAAGTTCATCATGCACTGTTCTGAGTTAATCCACTTCGGTAGTTGTAAAAAATAATCGCACCGAAAATGTCACTGATTTAATTCCATTTTTGGGCCAAGATGAATCTGTTTAAGTTACTGAGAGCAACACAAATAGCGCTCAATATGTCAAAAGTTCTGAGTACGTCATAACCTCAAAACCTCCAACTTTACATAGAGCTGTCAGTTGCAGATTGGCAACACCAGGTTGCAAAAAATCCCGGAACATAAAAGGCAACCTTCGTACTAGAATCAGAAGCGTATTGCCGGAAACTAGTGATACTAGATGTCAGTCAGCCCTGCTTTCTCCGGGTCAGTT